TACTCGGTGCCAAGTGCATGCCCCCCCCCCCCCCGGATAAATATGGAATCTTCCACCTTGCCAGCTTTTTTTACATCTTTCCGGCACTTTAGTAGCTCTTGTTCATTGCACCCAGTGGCATGCCAAGGTATTTAGTAGGCAGTGAGGCTACTTTGCATCCTAGGTTATCAACTAAGCTTACACAGTGTGTTGGCCAGGATCTACTCTACTTCCACGATTCAAATTCATATTGTTCACATAGAATAAAGCATGCTTTTATCAAAACAATCCTAGGAAAAAGGGTAGGCTAAACTAAAGAAATTTTAGCTCGATTTTTTGGGCAGAAACTTATATGATGACCCCAGACGTGCCAATCAGAGACCTAAAATGAAAAAAATAATATTGCCTATATGGATGCAGTATTCAATGAACACAAGCACATATCACTGGATAATGTCATAGACAACTAAACAAAGAGAAGTTAGGTACTTGATACCTAGTTGAATTGGCCGCTCTATTTGTTGTGGTAGGCCAGCCTCTAGAACATCTTCAACCAAAAATTCACCAGCACTAGTTTCTTTTCCATGCAATGCAATAATATTTCCTACGACGAAAGATTCACATATGTAAAAGCAATTCATTTCATAAGTCAAATAACTTTCTCCTATAGAAAAGCAGCGTCAACCAGTGACAACATCTCCAACCAAAAATGGCATTAGATAACCAGCTATAAAGCCCTCATTTATAGAACCAAAATCAGTTGCACAACAGTCCAGCCACATGACAGGATTGAGCTAAAGGTACTCACCTGTTACATATGTAGACGGCAGCAAACAACCACTTAGTTTGACTCTTCCGCTCTCATCTTCCAGAACTAAATTATCATCTAGGTGCGTAAAGTTATGACGTTGTACAAGCGGTGAAACAGATCTCTGTATAACCAAGTTTGATTAGTAATCGCTTAAAGAAGGGATATGTTAACACACAAGAACAAGACATATCTCCACAAGACTGGTTCTAAAATAAAACTTTAGCTATGAAAATCAACGTCTTATACCTCCTTAGAGTACTCATCCAGAATAGAAGGTTTAAGCCTCATGTGCTTGTAGAGTGTCCCAACTATAATGCAATCTTTGCCTTCCTCTAATCCCAGAACAGTACAGACTGCAAGGATACGGAAACAAAACACAAGGAAAAATGTAATATTTTGAGTAAACGTTCTAAGCACCAATAAGTAAGCTCTAAATGATTCCAACAATAGCAAGTAAAAACCTAAATAGTTCAGTTGAGTAGTAAGCAACTTGCACTCTTCCATTCTTTAATAATGGACACAAGTTAGTGAAATGTCCATAAATACAAACGTCAGAACTCTTAATATAGTAGTTTGTTTAAAAAAACTAACCAATATAAGTAGCAGAAGAAAGATGACCAGAAATATTCACCAAAATATGGAGATTAATCAAACACAAGTGATAAAGATGGGAAGTACAATCATGAATTGGGAAGTTTATCAGGTTATTGAAGCCCTAAAAGAAAAGAAAAAAGTAATTACCAGGTAAATGGGGTTTCCAATTGGGAATGAGAGAGTAAAGGAGAGTTCGCATCAAATGGAGCCTAGCAAAATATATTTGGCTGTATTGTTGACCCCTGTAAACCTCCTTCTGAATCCCAAAATTCGCATCCTGTTTTGATGAAAAGATAAAATTGAAAGTAAAAAAGAGGAAGTAGACTAGACTAGAGTAGAGAAGAATGAAGGAAGATGAATAAATACCAAAGATTGGTAAAGTGATTGTTTTCGGTGGAGAAGGTTCTTCTCCATTGATACCATTGGCAGCAAAAATACTCTTCCCACTGCTTGCGCTATTAAAGTTTCCTACTTCACTTCCCTCTGTACTAAACACAATAACCCAACGTTATAAATTTGAACGCACTATCATTCTATCTATGTATATTCCACAAAAAAAATGACATAAATATTTCTTTAAATATTTCTTTAACTATATGAATAGATCTAAAATGGTCTCTTAACTATATATTTAATGTATTTTTAGTCCTTTAATTATTTAAAAACTTATTAACTTTAGTCTCTTAACTATAAACTTACCGATTTTAGTCTTTTAAGTATTCAAAAACTTATCCGATTTGGTCTTTGTCCATTTTTTTAATACAAATAGTTTAGGTTTATATTAACCGAAATCTTCATGAAATTAAATCTTTAACTCAATTTTTAAGTTGTTTCTCTATCCCCGTCCTTCTTTCTTCAAACTAATCTTATGAAAGAACAATAACGTCAACGATTCAAAATAAAAATTTAACGAGGAAAGAAGATATAAGTCCTAATTTTATTCAATGGAGAACAAAATTAAGCATATAATTATTGTTAATGACTTGAATCCGCACTTGAATATGCTAATCAATGCGGATTTTATTTAATTTACTCAAATTTCTTTACGTGAAATAAAATGAATAGAATAACTGCAAATCTACCATTTTATAAATTTTAATTTCTGAAAAATTAAACAAATTTCGTTCAATAAAGTCGTTGGAGTACAAACTTTGGATTTAACGGGTAATAATTTTTTTCTTTTTCTAATAAAGTTTTAACATATTCAAGTCATTAGTAGCAATAATATGCTTCATTTTATCCTATGTGAAAAAAATTATAACTTATATTTTTTTCCTCGTGAATTTTATTTTAAATCGTTAAGGTTAAGGTTCTTCGCATAAGGTTAATTTGAAGAAAAAGTAGCGGGGATAGAGAAATAACAGAAAAAATTGCTAAAGAATTTAATTTCTCAAGGCATGAATTCCGTTAATATAAACCTAAGCTATTTGTATTAGAAAAATGGACAAAGATTATCAGGTTTTGAATACTTAAAGGACTACAATTGATAAGTTTATAGTTAAGGGACTAAAATCGGTAAGTGTATAGTTAAGGGACCAAAACTGATAAGTTTTGAAATAGTTAAAAGACTAAATCCACTAAGTGTATAGTTAATGGATCATTTTAGACCTACTCTTATAGTTAAGGGACTATTTATGTCATTTTATTATCATATATACTCTATCTATTTATATCTATGTTCTATATCATTTTAAAAATATAAATTCACAAACTTAAATATTAAATTACTACAATACCCTCAATTAAATCTATGTTACCTTAAAAAAAAAGCATAAACTCTCAAACTTAAATGTTAAATTACTATAATAACCTCAACTAAAATCTATATGACCTTAATAAACATAAAATCTCAAACTTAAATGTTAAATTAGTATAATACCCTCAATTAAAAACATTCAAAACTTAAACACTATAAAACTAGTTAAAAGTTATTTTGACTTAAAAGCAGCAGCTAATCCAAACAAGCTCTTAGGCATATTGTCAAACACCCTTCATATAGTAGAAGGCAACCTAACATAATATTGTACTGACATGAATGTGAAGATGCAGTAAGAAAATGTCATGTTACATAGTAACGAAGAAATATGAAACTCAAACTAAGAAACCAAGAAGGAGAAGAGAAAAATTCAAAATGAAGTCAAGAAAAAAAAAGCAGACAACAGTAGAAGCAACCAAAACCAAAACACATGATTAAAGAAAAATTTAGTAGAAGCTGAAAACTTGATTAAAATTTGTGAAGATTCATGTACACCAAAACATAGAAATCTGAAAGGAGAAGAAAAACTTACACCAACTCAGATATACAACAGCATCAAAGATAAACTCAAATCAAAGCAGAAAAATCTAAAATGATATCGGTAATTTTTTTTTGAAAGAATTGAAAAAAAAGAGAATATACTTAGAAGTATGAAGACTTTAGCCACCCTTGAACTATTATCTCTAAATCAACTCAAATTTTACTAATCTAAGCAAGAAATCATTGGAGTTTTTCAGAGAAACAGAAATAACCATCGCTAGAAGCATAAAGACAACTCTAATGACACGAGAGAAATTGTGATGAACATTGCACTAGCAATTAAATTAGATATTTTATCTTGAAGTAGTGATACTTCAAATTCCACCATACTAGAGATTACACAAAAACAATGTTATTGGTGAGATGTTGGGGAAGAAGCATAGAGAGAGTAATAGCTTAACTGAAAATAAGATTTCTTAAAGCTTTCAGGTTTCCTTTCGCTTGCCAAAATACGATTGATAGCAAAGACAATTCATTCACCAATGTTGTCCGTTAATATCTTCACAACATATTCAAGCAACCATCTGGATAAACAATTCATTCACCAGACTTGCACCACAGGGAAAATTTATGATAAAAGTTGTTGGAAAGGTCTATTAAAAGGGACAAACTAGTTAGTCAATTAGGTTGGAGTTCTTCAAGTCTTAAATATTGGGTAGAAGTGACAAATAAATAAAGTATATTAATTAGGTTAAAAGATATTTTTTCAATAGTCCCAAACTTTTAACTTTTACACATTTGTCTCTATATTTTTTTACCTTAAAATATCTAAAATTTTACCAAAATAGACAAAAAAAAAAAACGCTCTTTCTTAACTTCATCGATCTTCTTCAACCGCATATTTGCCAATCCCTTTCTTCTTCTTATTTTTGTTGTTCTTCACCTTCCTTTATCTAAAAAATATGTGCTTTTATCAAGAAGATCTATCAAGAAAAAATTATGAAAAAAGAAGATCAATATATATATATATATATGAGTTTTTTTGTATTGCATTTATTTTGTTTGAGCTTTGAATTAACTCCAAAAAGCATTATTAATAGGTATAAAAATCACTTTGTGTCCATTCTTAAGTTGGGTTTAGTGAACCCAAACTGATTATTTCAGTCAACAATTTTCGTAGTTGTTCGGAAAATTACTGAAGTTGTTTATTGAAATAATTAAATATGTTTGTCAGTTGATGTCCAACAACTGTCTGTAGTTGTTCGGCGATAATAGAAATTGTCCCAACAACTAGTGCAGTTGTTTGACAATTGTGTTCTATTGTTGGTCAATTGATTACTTGTTAAGAAAAATAATATAATTATGGACAAATTATTAATTATTTAAATAAATAATTGAAGAATTATAAAAAAAATCCTAAATCTACTAAAAGTTTCTGACTATTGTTGATAGTTGTGAAATAACGAAATAGGTATAAAAATAAGTAATCAATATTCTTTAGCGATTTCAAAGTTGTTTGATGAGTGTCTCACTAGTTGAAATATTTTGTGATGTTTTCACGTATTGTGTCCATTTTTGAAAGATCAAATAATACTAGCAGATGATTTACATGGTGAATGGGCAGAGAATCCTACTCGTTATACTTGGCGATCAAGGAGTCGAGAAACAGTTACAATAAAGATAAGCGAGAATGTTACATATAATGAGTTGGTTGAGATCATTATTTTTAGGTTTGAGTTAAATTGTGATAAAGATGATCTCTATATTATTTACATGTCTAGCTTCATTGAAAAGCAAAGAAGAGCTCCTTCTGGGATAAGAAATATCGTGATTTATGAATTTTTAGATGATCGAAGTAGACCCATTTTAAGAATACAAAGATAGCAGATACAGCGAATTTAGTTGCAAATGATAAAGAACATCCTGTTACTATTGATATTCTTATAAACGGGGACGCTTCTCAACATTTTGTACCAACACAACACAGCCACATGGATAATGACGACACATGCTTTATAAAGGTAAAATTTTCAAGGACAAGCGAGTTTGTTAATGCAATGTTCAATGAAGTAAGAGAATTGCATTAGTTGTCCAACGATATTGAAGAGTTGTCCATCGTTATTGGAAAGTTGTCTAACAACTTTGCATAGTTGTCTAATAATAATTGAAGATCGATCTAGTCATTTTGTGAATTATTAAGTATAAATTAATGTCCCGGCCTGGGTTGGGCACCTAACAGCCAACTATTCCTTTTTGAAATGAAAAGAAGAAAGGATGACCGTAGATCACTAATGTCGAATTCACGAAAAAGATCATATGTGAAAGAATCGTCAGTTTAATAATAATTGAAGATCGATCTAGTCATTTTGTGAATTATTAAGTATAAATTAATGTCCCGGCCTGGGTTGGGCACCTAACAGCCAACTATTCCTTTTTGAAATGAAAAGAAGAAAGGATGACCGTAGATCACTAATGTCGAATTCACGAAAAAGATCATATGTGAAAGAATCGTCAGTTTAATAATAATTGAAGATCGATCTAGTCATTTTGTAAATTATTAAGTATAAACTAAGTCGTTTAACAATAATTGAAGATCGATCTAATAATGATTGAAGATCGATCTAATCATTTTGTGAATATTAAGTATAAACTAAGTCGTTTAATAATAATTGAAGATCGATCTAGTCATTTTTTGAATTATTAAATATAAATTAAGTTGTTTAATGATAATTGAAGATCGATCTAGTCATAGATCTATCTAGTCAGTTTTCGAATTATTAAGTATAAATTAAGTCGTTTAATAATGATTGAAGATCGATCTAATCATTTTGTGAATATTAAGTATAAACTAAGTCGTTTAATAATAATTGAAGATCGATCTAGTTATTTTATAAATTATTAAGTATAAACTAAGTCGTTTAATAACAAATGAAGATATGAATTATTAAGTATAGACTAAGTCGTTTAATAATAATTGAAGAT